ATAATTAGACGGTAAGTATAAGAACCTTCGAGTAGTTTTCACCGGATGAGTGTGTCAATTGCATGTGGTGTCGTTGACATACATATATCACCTTAGGTAGCCATTTACGAGACTTGTTAGTTATTGCTTTATTCATAACTTGTTTGCATAGAAATATAGTGAACCGTTTATGAATAATAGACTCATAATAAACGCGACAGCGGGTTATGAGTAAATTAGTGTCTCGGGTTAATAATCATGAATCATATATTTCATAATTGAGGGGTTTTGGGTGAGCAATTCTTGCATAGGGGGAAGATAAAATCCTAGGTCCGTTTTTATTGATATTTTCTCATGTTTATTTGCTTTCATAATTAGCTTAATTATTTAGTTGATTAAATTTGACAACTTTGCGTAGGCTGGATAAAAATCATAATTGTTATAATTTGGTACTTAGGATTAGATAATTTGAGTATTCCCTGTGGGATCGAGATCCGACTCTCACGAGTCCACTTGTACTACTTGTTTGCGATACGTGCACTTGCGTGTTAGGTATTTAGCACCCAACAAGGACGAATGGGAATTGAGACTGAGCCGGGAACCTCAATCGTCATTAGAACTTCATCTTCCCGTGAATTTATGTGATTCGCCGTGGTTTCGTTTTTTCCCCTTTATTTCTTTAGTTTTATATTATTTATTTGTTTCTTACCTTTTTGCAATTATTCTGATTTGTTAAAGTCTTTATAATTGTTATGCTTTGTTTTTATATTAATAGTGATTGTAGTCCGTATCCCCTATTGCCATAAGGTTATTTTCTTGCATATTGATTTAAGTGAATATAATGGATGTTTTATTTACGATTGTTTCTCCGGGCGTATACCCAACAGTGGTATCAGAGCGTTGTTAAGTGTCCGTCCGGAGCGGCGTACGAAACCCTGGTCCAGGGGTTTCGCTCAGGTATAAATTTCAACTCTTGATGAGTTGTTTGATTCTTTGTGATAGTTATACCTGTTACTGGTGAATCTTGGTGATTCTTTTATTTATTACTTCTCCTAATATTTTGTGTGAATCTGTGTGATTCTTTATCTTTGTGATATTTGAAAAATTGGAATCTTTGTGATTCGATTTTGCATTGAAATTGTGAATCTTTGTGATTCTATTATCTATGTGATTTTTTGAAAATTTGTGAGTCTTTGTGATTCGATTTTGCTAAAGAATATTGAATCTTTGTGATTCTTTGGTGTGTTGATCCTGCTAATAATCTTTGTGATTTTTTTGCTATCTTTGTGATACTTGGAATATGGGATCTATGTCTATGTTATCTTTAGCTCCTTTCAATGGAAAGGGTGATTTTTCTATTTGGCAACAGAAAATGAAAGGTATTTTATTCCATCAAAAATATTTTAAAGCAATTTCTCTAAATGAAGAGGTTTTTATAATTGTTGCTAAACGTGAAGAACTTGGTGAGCTTGCTTATTGTGCTATTATCTTGAATCTAAGTGACTCTGTGATTAGAAAAGTAGGAAAGCATGATTCTGCTAGAAGTTTCTGAAATAAATTGGAGGAGCTTTATGTTTAAAATTCTTTGCCCGATAAAATATTTTTGCTTGAAATGTTTTTTGGATTTAAATTGGACTCTCGCAAAAATATTGATGCTAATATGGATGTTTTTACCAAGTTAGTTCAAGATATTAAATTAACTGGTGATAAGAACATTGATGATTATACCCCTATTGTGCTCTTGAATGCTATTCCTGATATTTATAATGATGTTAAGTCTGATATTAAGTATGATAGAGATAAAATTACTTTAGATATTGTGATCAATGCTTTAAAAAGCAAAGAGCTTGAATTGAGAATTAATAGGGATATATCATTTAGTGAGGTTAATTTTATTAAAGGAAGTCAGTTTAATCGCTTTCAAAATAAGAAAAAGGGTGGAGATTGGAGTAAGTCGAAGCTAATCCTAATAATAGGAGGTGTTTTAATTGTGGTGACCATAATAATTTTATTAATGAGTGTCCCAAGCCTAAGAAAAACCAACATAGTGATCAAGCCAATATGATATCGGATGGTGGTGATGTATTATAATGTGTTAGAATTTTTGCAATACTTTGTGTTTTGCTTGTTATTTGCATATTTCTTTGTTTTGTGCTTGTTTTTTGCATTACTTTGTATTTTGTTTTTTAAACTTGTACTATCTTTGTGTTTTAAGTGCAGGTAGTGTCATACTGCAATGATGATCTTGTTTTTCCTCTTAAATGTCCCGATGACTCATTTGGGCCAGGTGGAGATTATTGGGATTTTTGGCCATAATGTTTTTTCTTCATCTGTGGCCCAATACCAGCATGTAACCAGCTCATCTTGGAGCAAACCCATACTCGAAAAGCCCACGTGGAGAAGCGGTCTTGACCCAATTAAGAGGTCAAAACGTGAAAAACGATTAATTTCTCCACCGAAATACTGATCTCGGCGCCCTGCTTTTTTCATCCTCTTTTCTGGTCCGATTTCTCCGCCGAAAATTTGTGACACCAATATCTCGACTCCTCGGTTTCCGCTAAAATCGGTTCTTGGGGGCTATTAAATAGACCTCTTCTTCGTGAGAGAAAAGTGACCAAGAAAATTCAACCTACTTTACACCTTGGTCCAAAATCTTTTCTTCGTGACTGATTCGACTCTTTGTGAGTCTCGACTCTTTGTGAGTGTTTGGGTGTTGGCTTGAGTGATGTGTGTGTTTGATTTATTCGAACTCTTGGTCCTTTGTGAGTTGGGTTTTTTCGGGTTTTTTGGGTTCGAGATCTGAGAGGGATTTGGGCTGTTGGGTTAGTTCCGGTGGGCGCGTGGCTGCGGCTGGTGAGTCTTGGACGAGGACGAATGGGAATTGAGACTGAGCCGAGAACCTCAATCGTCATCAGAACTTCATCTTCCCGCGAATCTGTGTGATTCGCGTGATTCGCCGTGGTTTTGTTTTTCCCCTTTTATTTCTTTAGTTTTATATTATTTATTTGTTTCTTACATTTTTGCAATTATTCTGATTTGTTAAAGTGTTTATAATTGTTATGCTTTGTTTTTATATTAATAGTGATTGTAGTCCGTATCCCCTATTCCCATAAGGTTATTTTCTTGCATATTGATTTAAGTGAATATAATGGCTGTTTTCTTTACGATTGTTTCTCCGGCGGATACCCAATATATATATATATATATATATATATATACCATAAAATCAATTCTGCATAACTTTCAGCTCCTCCGGAGTTCTAACTTATTATAAAAAAAAATAATAATAATAATAAAAACACGATCAAAGACTCACGAAGCATTTCAGTTCCTATTCCAAAAACGAAATTTGAATCTAACATTTCAATGGAGAGAATGGAGATTCTTTAAAAACTACAGAAAACACGATCAAAGACTCACAAAGCTTGTCTCCATTTCAATGCAAATCGAGTATGATAAGATTTCGTTTCTCGACACTTCCGCAGTTCCGATAGAGTTGCCGAACGCCATTCTTCTCGACCGCTCTCCCTAATTTCCAAGCTCGCTTGCTCCAAATCTCGCAACCACAACTGTCTGAACCAATCTCCTTCGTCTCCACTCTCTCTCTCCATTAGAAGCTTCCACAACCACTCGACAACTTCCATATCCAAATGCATTAGAATTCTCGGACGACAAATACGAAGCAGACCATCTAAATTACTCGAACCGGCAGATAAAGAAGCATTCAAAATCAATCTATCCACCACAACAGCTATACCACAACCATTCATGTATTGTACCGTATTTACGTTTCCTCGAATTACGTCGTCGTGATTCATCAAATACTGATCGATAGACAGGATAATTCTAGATTTGCTTACTGAGTTGAGCAGTTCATTTAGCTCGAGGAACCACAAATAACCATTGTTTATCTGCATATAGTTTATGTTTAATTCTGAACGCCAGCTGGAAGTAGTTTTTCCGAAAGAGATCGAAGGGATAAAGAATCCTTGATATTCAAAAAGTAGCATGCTCGGGGCATCGATGAATAGCTTGATATCTTTCAATCCTTCACAATCCGAAAGGCTCAACCAGACGAGGATCGGGAATTTACACGAAGACATGTGTTCCAATGACGAGTCGACACCCCTCAGATGTAAGTTTATGAGGTTACGAAACTCCGCTCCTTTGCGAAACCAAATATTACCAAAAGTAATATTGATGGTTTCTATGGACGACGGTGCATGGATTTCGATGCTACAAGGTTCCTCCTCCAACTCATCTTCGTACACTACGTCAAAATTAAAGTAGATAAGATTGGGAAGATCACTCAAATTAATTTTCTTTAACCCTTCGCATCCTTCGATTATCATAGTTTCGATCGAAGGACAACTCGAGATTATCCTCTGAAAAACCGCGTCCTCGATGTACACTTGCTCGAGATGAAGTTGGTCCAGATGCTTCAAGAGTACTAACCTTTCAATACACTTTTGGTCCATCACGAATTTTGCCACGTGCAAATATTGGAGGGATTCGGCTCCAAAGACTACGGAGGGCATATCGGTAAATGCCCAACTATATCTCGAATGAATAGAGAGATCAAACTTCTTCATGCCCATATGTTTCAGCAATGGGATCCAATTTTCAAGAAACGTAACCGATTCGCAATCCGAACCATCTACCAATATACAAAGGTCGAATTCCTCGACGCACAACCTTTGATCACGATAACGTTGTATGGTCTTATCCACAGTGATTAAAAAATCTTGTCTCTTGCCTTTGAAGGTTTGGACGGAAAAAACAAGATTGGGACGAGAGCACCAAACGTGGCGCCATGATTTGGACAAGACAGAGGTTCGGACAGCATATTCTTGGGGAAGGAAATAAAGTATTCTCTCTAAGATCTCTTGTGGCAAAACAGATATTATGTCCATGGATTTGGAACCGTCTTCTTCTCCTTTTGCCCTTTTCATGTTGTGTATGAATGAATTACTCCAAAATATTTAATTTGTCAGCCTCTGATTTATAAACCCTAATGAACTTTTCATAGAAGCGTCGCAGATTTTTCTCTCTCTCGTTTAGGGCCTATGGTTTGTTCTTTGATAACAAGTCTTGTTTGTGGGGAATTGTTTTAATATATATAGTTATATATATGTTTCGGATTTCCTTTTTTCTTTTTTTTAAGTTAATAACTAAATCTAATTTGAAATTATTTCAAATGTATA